ATACATTGTTCTAAAGATTAGACAGCATATTAAGTGTTTTCGAAAAGTGCTTCATGAATCTGAAAGTGATGAATGTGCATATTATCGAATCAACGGTCACACGACTATGCGTTGTAAAGAAAATAAGTATGAACAAAATGAGGTCTACAAAATTTAAGTGTTCTTATCAAATGGGTTTATAACCTCTTAGGTCTTGGCCGGCTAATAACTAATTTGGCCACCTCTGGTTGTCCCTTCTTGTTGCATAGGGCCGCCCAAAAGTTTGGACACACCTGACACATAAACTATTTGTTGGTAGTTCTTATATACGAGTATACCCAACACTAAAGTCTTATTAGGTTACCCATGCTCTATCAGCACCCAAGACGACAGCTCTGTGAAAAGAAGGTGATGTTATTGTAGTTTTGCCAATTTTTACTTTAAAACATATTTTTGCACCAAAATGTTGGCCGCCTCTCTAACTTTGTCGATATCCGCCCAATGCTCAATAGTATGCAAAGAACAATTGAATCCCTCTGTTAAGCTTAAGTTCCTTCGCATTTTGAACACCCTTAGGTTGGCAGAATGCGCCAGTAAATGTTTTTTGCTGTGTTTGATGCCGTTCCCGCCTCCCGTTTTTGTCCCAGCTACTAATCCTGAGAACACTTTAGACATCAGTATACTGTCCAACTTTTCTTAGAATCGCATATAAACATCACCAAAACTGTATTAAAGCCTGTCACTGATATTCCTGATTGTTTCCTCAAAGGTGATATATCTACACTTTCGGGTCGATCATGGAAAATCATAAAGCTGTAAAATAAGCTACAAAATTCCGTGAAATTATATGCGTTCAGGCTAATTCTATATCAATAATGTTGTCCCTGATTGCTAATCCCAGTCATATGATAAGAAACTTTGGAACCCGGCGCCAGCAAAGTTGTAAAATTTGAAAGTCATTCCAACTTTGAATCGCACTGAGTAGCCAACTAAGAGCAGTTTTATTGCACTACTGACTTACAAGATTCAAATCTCTGCATGAATGTGTTTAGCATGTCTTAGTTCAGGAATAGCAGCCGACAACTTTTTACTGCCACATTCCTTCCGTCGTGTTTGCGATCCGAACGAATTTTGCGGTAGTTTCGATTTTGTAAGAAAAAGACGCGCATCAACTTTTTTTACTGAGGCGACAGAGAATTTGTGCTAATGTGTAAAAAGTTATTCATGTGCACACCGGCGTGAATCCATTTCGTCCCACCTTGATGGGGAGTTATTCCAACAATTTATTCGCTAAATTGATTCTATTCGGAATATGTGATAAGGGCACCAAGCCTATGGTTCTAAACGGTAAGTTGGCTGCTCTCCAAACGAAATTGTAAAGGCGATTCTGGAGAATGAGCCGCGCTTTTTGGTTTTCTCGAAACAAAAGAAAAACACGGCTTTATTATGGCTATATTATGGCTGTCCAAAATGAAAGCTTTAGAAATTCAAATAATGGTTTTGATGAACGATAATCCAACTCAATAATTTGTGATAAACAAAGATAAATTCCTGCAAAAGTAAAAAACTATGTATGCTAACGCACAAACGCAGAACACAGCTGTGCTTTAAAAAGAAGTGGCCACACGTTTTCATTTTTTTGCATTAGTCGGGAATTCGGGAAAAAATTAAGCTGGGTTTTTGCCGATGTTGTTTTATGATAAGATAAGTGCGATATCAAGTCCAATTCTCAAACATTTCGCTTCAAGAAGATTGAATAGACAGGATATATTATTGAAAATCTAATGAGAGCTTGTCAAGATGTGCGAAGCGTATTGTTGTGGTATACATCATGAAAAATTTTGTTTAAAAAATGTACCATATCTTCAAAAAAAGCAAATTCGTTAGATTTCTTCTAGAATTTTATAGAAATGAGCGTTTTCTGCATTGTTATTCGTTGGGGAATTTTGGTTCTGTGCACCTCGTATGACGTTGGATTAAATGAGACAAATAAATCAAAGAACTAATAAGCAAATTTTTTCCGTGATTGACTTTTTCTTGGAGTTTTTAATCAGAAGAGTTTCAAAGCGTAAGAAAAAGGGAAATGATACAGATTTGTAGTCTGCTAATTGTAAAATGGCGATAAAATAATAAAAAAAAGTTAGTATATTTTAATAGTTTTTACGATACCTTTCCGAAAATGTTTTACAAGTAGGAATGTGTTAGAACATTCTCCTTTCATTTCCAATTTTTAGGATTCAGCGAAGCCTTATGGCTACAGTAACTTTCATCGCTTCAAAGTGTTAGCTATAATTGGTGGATGAGTTGCAATTTGTGTACAAATGGAACAGTTACGGGATTTGCGCGTAATTTTTTGAGTACTGGATTAAAGATTACTATCGAAATTTGTGTAAAAGTTCACTGTTTTACAAGACACAGTTTGGGTCACCCTTCCGATTACTGTTTGAATGAGCAAACATATGTGATGAATAGATTGATACCGCTAATTTTGAGTGTGAATAAAGGTAACTTCCTTAGATCAAAACGTAACGATTAACATCAGCCCTCAAAATGCGTGTAACTGAAATAGAGTAGGCTAATCATGTCGTTACATTCAAATGGAATTTTTTATAAAATGTCACATATTAACAACAGCCCTTAAAAAGCTTCAAAACCCCTCTTTCTTCTTTTTCCCGCCTAAGGATTTGGATTTTATCGCAGGCCTTAAGAACTGTAATTGAAACTACTCGGCAATAAAAATTTGCTCGTTTTTTTTTGCGAACGTCACACCATTACGAAGGATTTACTCGAAGAGTAATTTGGTGAATTGTACAGGACATCGCATCCCAACTTCTGCATTTTCTGTATTGATACCTTTTCTTTCACAAATAACGTGAACATCATTTTTGGCATCGCAAGGTGGTGGAAATTGTTCGTAAAATACGATGTAACCTGTTTAGGACAAGAAGCTTTCATACGCAAAGGTGCGCAAGTGCCTATTCAAAATTCAATGTATCTCCTAATCTCAACTCTTAAAAAAACAGAATTTGTATTTTGAGAAATTTACCTTTTGAATCTACTTCACTACCAAAAAGCTACATTTTCGTAGGCAAGTGCCTTGCAAATGTTATATCCTGAAATATCTCTTCTAATAAGATAGTGGCAAACTTCTATCATACAAAAAAATCTAGTGAAATTTCGTCTGAATTATAGAGTTGATCCTTATTTTGTCTTAATCTATAACGATGATATTATCTTTTTTATATCTCCTTAGACCAAATAATATGCAATGCTTTATAACAATTACCTTGAGCCGATCAAGCGTAAAACTTCGCTAATCTCTCAGAAGTTTGATATTCGGTCAGCTAATAGATGGATAGTGATTGTAGTTAAAAATGCAAAGCACATGTACTGCAGAGCATTTTTTAATGTATTTTCTTCAACCTGTCATTCCTAAACAATAAATAGTCAACAATAATAATAGAAGTTGTTGAGATCCAGTCCCCCCTGTATCGACAATACTTTATTGTTGCTCGAAAGAGCTTTCATACTGTAGAAATTATTACAGAGCATCCTTGTGTATTCATCAGTCAAACTAATTGTTCCATTTTCTTTTCCATACTTCTCCCTTGCTTTGGTGTTAGTCAGATGTACAGTATAAAGAGTGACTATCCAATAGTACGATAGTTTTATGACGAGATCCTGCGTGGGCTACGACAGAAATACCTGTTTTAGACTTTTTTTGCTAGCAATTGGTTCTCTCCTTTAGCCTTTTTTGAACCCACTCTTAACAAAATCGATTCAGCTGTTCTGTCCAGTTGTCTGTTCATATAGCAAATAGCTTTTCAATAAACGTAAAAGCAAACCCTTTAACGTTTTCTCACATCTATTTATTTCTTTTTGCTTTTGAAGCAGCCGTTTATTACATACATACAAATATATAGCACCCGAGGTGATTTGCTGATAAAATCTCTTATCGTCTCGTTCCATCCTCGAAAAAGACACCTCCGTCCAGGGCACAATATTTGGGGCAAATTCCGCGTTCTCCTTGTGGTCCAGGCTGTCCAGGTTGTCCGGGATTTCCAGGTGCACCAGCGGGACCCGCGGGTCCAGGAGGCCCAGGCGGGCCTGGTGGGCCAGAGCTGCCAGGCT